ACTCAATTTATCCACTTATTTACAAAAATTTAGATAACATGTATAAGGATGGAAATTTCGTTTTACTCGTCCAATAATAATAGAAAGAAAATGTTGTTGAAAAATTAAAAATATAAATTAAATTATTCTTACTTTTCAAATTTTATATCAAAGTTTCAGAAAAATTTGATAACGCAATATTAATTATTTCCATTATTTGTGCCTTGATATTTCTCGCTAAAAGGCATCCATTGAATGTGTTTCCTTAATTTAATGGGCGTCAATATCTCTAAACTGTCTGTGTAAAAGATAACATTTGATGCCTTGATGCTGATCAGTATCTTTTTGGATATTTCCGATATTTTTTTCCTATGTACCATTTTTAAATGTATAGGAAGTGTATACAAAAATCTTTATCGTGTGGTTATTTGTTTTTATGAAAACTTTATTTTTAATTTTACAAAGATAATATTGTTTTTTAAAAATCCAAACCAAAAACGAAACATTTTCACTTTAGGCAAGCAAATTAAATCATTATATTTACAATTATATCTTGACTGCATTTTTATAATTTAGAACAAATAAAAAACAGTATAATGATACAGACCCAAAATTAATGTGACTTAGTCGCTAGAATCATTTCTCTTGAATACAAAAATTTATAGATCTGATGGGTAGTAAAATATACCACAATATGACAAAGAATGTAAAAGAATTCGTAACTCTTTCAAAAGCTAATAATCTTCAAACATAGTGAAAAACTTTAATTAACATTTTAACAGTGACGAATTCAATTTTACAATCGTTGATTAAATCATATATCCATTCAATTTTTAACCTTGTACTCTAAATATATTATTATGCTCTTGCATTTAGACAATTTTGTACATAACTTACAAGAGTAATTTATAAGCTTCCTAACCCTCTGCGAAAAAATCCATTAAATGTGTAATACTAACCCTCACTAAAAAATAAAAATCTTTACAAGCTAAAACAATTAACTAAGTAATTATTTCCAATAGATCTGAAAATTTGCCCACTTTATTTTTTTCATAAACATAATAAATTAATAGAAGTTGTTTTACCTTGTTTTCGCAACTTGGTCATATTGGTAGGAAGACTTAGAGGAGCGCACCTAGTCCGGAATCCATTGTATGCATGATCATTTTCAAAGTCGGACCCTGGACGTGGTACATTCCCAGACGTTTCGCCGGCATTGTCAGTTAGTCTCACCATTCTTAGCGCCACACCACAAATCGTCAGGGACAAGTGAGGCCGATCCTTTGACGAAATGTATGCTAAACAGTTGTGGTATCTCTCCTTCTGTTCTAGGATATTCATATTTCCTATAACCTTGTGGAACGCCTTCATTGATACAATTTTTACGGTTAGTTAGATTTAGTGTGGTGTGCTCCTTTGAGCGGAATTCATGTAAACCCTTCATACTCCACGCTGGCGTTCTCATCCCCTTTCTCGTTGTGCTGGGAATATTGATCAGAGTCGGCCATTTTTTTAAGTAGTACTCCTTCACTATATCTTATCAGAATCTCCCTCTTTGTCTGTAAGATCCGTCTGCTCTCTCAATGGTGCCCGTATCTGACTCGACCCATGCCACCCAATCTATGCTACTCGA